GATCATTGCAACCTCTACCTCCCGGGATCAAGCAATTCTCCTTTGTCAGCCTCCCAGGTAGCTGGGATAACAGGCATGTGCCACTGCACCCAGCCAGATACTAGTTTCTGATCTTTCACTGTGAACGTTGTCATCTCTGAAGACATCACTCATACTCTGTCATATCTAGATACTGAATGTCACTTGGTGTGTCAATAAAAGTTTCTGGGCTGGGCACAGTGGATCATGCATGTAATTCCAGAACTTGGAGAGGCTGAGGCAGGCGAATCAGGAGGTCAGGGGTTTGAGACCAACCTGGTGAATATGGTGAAAACCCATTTCTGCTAAAAATACAAAATTAACCGGTCCTGGTGGCACATGCCTGTAATTTCAGCTGCTCAGGAAGCTAAGGCAGGAGAAGCGCTTGATCCTGGGAGGTGGAGATCCAGAGAGTGGAGACTGTGCCTTTGCACTCCACCCTGGGCAACAGAGTGAGACTCCACCTCAGGGAAAAAAAAAAAAAAGTTTGGTAAAACACAACTGGGAAGACAAAATGTGGTGAGAAATCCCTTACTCAGATTTGTTAGAATATTCACTGCATTTAAATCCATGCTTTCACCTCTCTTTTCTTCTCATTTTCTGTAAAGATAAGAATTCCGCCCATAACCATTTGGTTAAAATGTGTTTTCATTTCAGGGTCTGTTGACATTCAGGGATGTGGCCATAGAATTCTCTCAGGAGGAGTGGAAATGCCTGGACCCTGCTCAGAGGACTCTATACAGGGCTGTGATGTTGGAGAATTATAGGAACCTGGTCTCCCTGGGTGAGGATAACTTCCCTCCTGGGGATGTGCCCTTGCATATCTTTTTATTTGCTCTTCTTTTTTAGATACAGTGTCTCTCTCTGTCACCCAGTGTGGAGTGAAGTGGTGGGATCATGGTTCACTGCAGTCTTGAATTCCTGGGCTGATGTGATTGTCCCACCTCAGCCTCCCCTGGTAGCTGGTACAGGCGCATGCCAGCATGTCGGGCAACTTTTTTAGTTTGGTTTTTTTTCCAGACAGGGTCTTGCTGTGTTGTTGAAATTCATCTTGATCTCCTATGCTCAAGAGATCTTCCACAGTCTCCTGAGCAACTGGGATTACAGGCGCCAACCCCATACCTAATTATTGGCTTTTATTTTTAAAATTTTTGCATATGTGTGGCCGAGCATGGTGGCTTACGCCTGTAATCCCAGCACTTTGGGAGGCTGAGGTGGGTGGATCACAAGATCAGGAGATCGAGACCAGTTTGGCCTACATGGTGAAACCCCATCTCTACAAAAAATACAAAAATTAGCAGGGTTTGATGGCACATGCCTATAATCCCAGCTACTCCAGAGGCTGAGGCAGGAAAATCACATAAACCCAGGAATCAGAGGTTGCAGTGAGCCAAGATCACCACTGCACTCCAGCCTGGCAACACAGCAAGACTCCGTCTCAAAAACAAAAACAAAAAAAACAAAAAACAAACAAACAAAAAACTTTGCATATGTGTGTCCTTTAGGCTAATATGAGTCTATGAGTTTCTTGTAGACAACATATAGTTGGTTCTTGTTTATTCAGCCAGTCTTTGCCTTCTGAGTGCAGAGTTAAATACTTACAGCTGAAGTATTACTGATGGAGAAGACCTTACCTTTGTGATTTTGTTACATATTATCTGTATTTCTTGTAGGTTTTTTTGGTTCTTCATTTCTGATTTCCTACTTTTTGTGTTTAATTGCTTTTTTGTGTAGACATGCTTTGACCCCCTTATTTCCTTTTTTGTTTGTTTGTTTGTTTATGATGGAGTCTCACTCTGTCACCAAGGCTACAGTGCAGTGGGGATATTTGGCTAACTACAGCCAACTCTGCCTCTTGGGCTCAAATGATTCTTGTGACCCGTGCCTGTAATTCCAGAACTATGAGAGCCAAGGCAGGCAAATCATCTGAGGTCAGGAGTTCAAAACCAGCCTGGCTAACATGGCGAAACTCCATCTCTACCAAAAATACAAAAATTAGCTGGACACCATGGTGGGCGCCTGTAGTCCTGCTACTCAAGAGGCTAATGCAGGAGAGTCGCTTGAACCTGGGAGGTGGAGGTTGCAGTGAGCTGAGATTGCACCACTGCACTCCAGCCTGGGTGGTACACGAGACTGCCTGAAAAAAAAAATTCATAACCTGCAGAAACTACTCTTTCTCCACTGGAATTCTTTATTTATGTCAGAATTATTTCTGTGTATGTTGCATTTTCATAAACATTCATGTACAATGTTTTTTCATGCTTTTTTCTTCTAAATAACAGAAAAAAAGTTGATTTATGGAGAAAATGTACACTAAACCAGTTTCTGTATCAGTCCTCTTATTTACCTATTCATGTATTTATTTATTTATTTGTTGATGAGACGAAGTTTTGTTCTTGTCGCCCATGCTGGAGTGCAATGGCACAATCTCGGGACACTCCAACCTCCAACGCCTGGGTTTAAGTGATTCTCCTGCCTCAGTGTCCCGAGTAGCTGGGATTACAGGCATGTGCCACCATGCGTGGCTAATTTAATATCTTAATAGACACAAGGTTTCTCCTTTTTGGTCAGGCTGGTCTTGAACCCCTGCGCTCTAGTGATCACCAACCTCGGCCTTCTAAACTTCTGTGATTACAGGTGTGAACCACCAGACAGACCCAGCCTGTCTGTCTTTTTAGATACCTTTACTGGAGAACTTTATATATATTTGTGGGTTGGAATTACTCTTTAGACTTCTTTCATTTCTTTTTTCTTTCTTTTCTTTCTTTCTTTTTTTTTTTTT